TGTTAAATACTTACGTCCTCGTCAAAACTAGTTACAATTGACCATAGTCAGCACTTTACCACATTTATTAGATTTAAGCACGTAGACCCGATCAAGAGATTCAGATGACTTTAAAGTGTTCCTCAGATTTAAATACCAAATTTCGGCAGCTTTGTTGCTACACATCTGTTCAACTACTGATGAACCAAAAGTAGTACCGTTTTCAGCTAACAGTAACATACCAACGGGGAGATTTCTAAAGTTAAACTGGTAGCTACGGTTACACTAGGTGATTGGACGGGCAGAATAACAGGAGAGGGTTAGCTTCAGTCGATAAGTGAAAAGAAATCTACAAACCGATATGTCTTGCCTCAATGGACTTGGTTTGACAAATGCAACGTGATGATGGTGTTACGGAAAATGAAAACCAGCAGTAATCTCCCTAAATCATCGACTTTTTTTTAAAAAAAAAGAAAAGTATATTTAGACTTGTAAAATTAGGACAAAGGTGCGATTTGCATGTGGCCGAACACATCGCTAGCAAAAAGCATTACGGAAAACAATATTAGAGGGGTCACTTAAGGTGTGAAAGGATTATCGCCTCTGCGCTGTCGACGCCATGTTAAAATCTGTTTAACTCGTGGGTGTTCAATAAGTCAGTGAAAAAAATTGATTCGGAATATTTGGATTCTGTGAATAAATAATACCAGCATTTTTGCTTGTTCGTCTTAAAATGACAGCCCAACTCGAAAATACAGTTCCTTGCAAACTCTTCGACAAGACGAGCATTGATAATGTGAATCAGTATGTGCTATTACTTTAGTCAGTAAATAGCATCCAGTAGCATAAAAGTTAAATGCATTTTTTTGAAACGCGTCAAGATGATTAGTAAATCAGCAAAGTGAAATGACTGAGTCACACTTATCGTGATTCTTCAAAATTCTGAAACCTGTTTCCGAAAGCTTCACACGAAATGACCACAGACATTCGGATGATAACGCACAATTTTCGCCATCTTTTTTGGTAAAAAAATGACCAAATACTTAAACATGAGAAAATTATTCAATGAGAGCATTTGGAACCTTGTGGTTATTAAAGATTAAGGGATGAATAATGATCCAAATAAGGAAGGCAAACCACAAGAGAGTATGAAAAAGTCAAAGAAAATGACTTACTTACAATTCAGTTGTTGAAAAAAACTCATTGGAATCTTTGGAGTCGAAAAAATTCGGCATTGGCGACTTGGGACGTTGTCGCAAGTTTTGGTAGCTACTAGACGTAGTCAGCATTGGGCAGAATTTCGCAAGTGAATTAAAGAGAACCTGCAAAACCAGATACAATCAGTTTAAAAGTGGTCAAAAGTTTGAAAAATCTGGGTGTTTCAATACAGATTTGATACAAAACTCGCAATCGATTTTTTTAACAATTTGACCATAAATGATGGGGAGATGGACGATTAACAGAAATTAGTGAAGGGTTGCTAAAATCTATTCAAATTTAAGCTTCTTATGCTCCTACCATGCATACAGCCACAATCGATTAGATATACAAAAACAGTGCTATTATTTTGCTCAAACTTTTTGCATAGCATAAGTTACTTGTATCCAACAGTTGGACAAACAAATGAATTATTTTAAGCGACACGTATTAAATTTTTAAGTTGCTACTATTATCAGTCCGCAGTCGTGTAAAAAAAAACACAAATACTAGAACTTGTGAATTTAAAAAAAAATTCAGAAAAGAAAAATTTGGAAAAACAATCGTGTTTATTAACAAATCATGAGTAATCTTATCAACGAATATGTACCCTAATTGTAGAAAATGAACAAAACGAAAACGTTGATGACCAAAGCACATCACTTCAAATCTATATCTATTCACACCAACATTTACAAACCAACATTTAATTAAAATTTAAATTGATTTCGAAATGCCAACGGCCTTGAGAACAACACAATGTAGGGTATATAAAGTGCTTCAGATTTTTGCAAAATAGCATCAAATGCATTATACATTTTCAATAAGGAACACTAACTTATATTTTGTCGCTTATTTAAGCAGATGTTTGAACTACAGCAGTATAAAATAAGAGCCAGTATTTCCATGTTAGAATAATAATAGGCAGACATGTGTTAACAACAAATTTCTTAATTTTTCTTTGCCCCGGGCTGCATTTTAAGCTGTTACAATGCTAGAAAAACAAATTTTTGATTGCAAGTCATATGTTTAATCTTAGGCTAGCAGTAAAATCATATTCAATTGAAAATAGGTGTCAAAAAATTGCTCAGTGGAATAATTTCATGTCTTTCTGCGTAACGTGCCTTGTACTTTTTTAATTAGATCTCATTCTCTATCTATAGAAACAGTGTGGCAAATTTTTTTATAAGTGTAATTGCATTTTCCAATTGCAATAAATAAAGACCGTTTGTTAAATGCCTTTAACTTGAATGCAATTGACCGAATTAAACGAAGTTTAACTAAAGGTTTTAACAATCTGCAGCTTGCGTTACCTCGTAAAGAGCAAAAATAAATGTAAAAAGGCAGTGTTTTTCATGATGTAGATGTATTGTCCCCGATATTACTTCAAAATTTGCGCACTGTTTCTTGCACGAATATTGCATTCAGGAATGGTTGAGGATCTTTCAGTTCTTGATAAGATTATTATTAAAAGTAGTTGCTTGCAATTCACAAAGTTCTTAAATCAGGGCTAAGAAATTTTTGCTCAAAATGTTGCCGGATGCATGTTAAGAACCACAAAGCCTAAACTTTTATTCGGCTTTCTTGGCTAGATCGGAGCAATCAATTTTTGGCGTATCCTTAATCGCTTATTGTGCAAAACAATCAAGAAAAAAACGTCGAATAGTCAAAAGAAAAATTACAACCTATGCCATTTTGCGCAGCAGGTCTTGCCCACTTAGAATCACTATTAAATTTCTGATGCAAGATTCTAAAATAATTCGAATCTCAAACAAAAATTGGTGAAAACGATATTCTACGCGAATACTAGTTTTCACTAATATAAGAGTTTCAAAGTATATTGTCCCCTTTTTTAGAAATTTTTCTTAACATTTTTAAAAAAAATTGACTCTGTGGACAGAATTGCTCCTAAAAGTGGGCAGTTAAAAACAGTCGCATTCGTAAATATGTCAAAATGCTGAAAGGCGGCTATTCGATTCGTATCAAGGGAATGGTGTACTTCATTTAGTATCAGGCAGGTAGAATATAGTTTCATTAAGCGACAAAGAAAGAAACACGACCTTCAAGTTGAAACACAAAAAATGTCGTCAATGTACGGTCAAAATGAAAAATAATTAAAGGAGTGAGGAAAAAGGGATGGCAAATAAGAACAAGAATAAGAAGCAGAGGTTCATGATGGCGGAGGAGGTGGAAGAGGTTAAGAGCGATGGGTCGCATGGCCAGCTGACAATCTCGAATGCAGAGAGAGCTTGAGAGAACACGAAATAGCCTAAACCCTTAGCGAACAAGTTTCCCTTCTCGCACTTCCTAGTTCTATTTACTTCGGCGCCTCATTTGCTCACAGGCTTTGTGTTTGGCACATTTGCAATAGAACAATTTCGGTATTGGAGTGCCAGTAGGTTGTGTCATGATTTTGGTGGCCGAACGACTTTGATAGCATTGAGCAGGCAGCGTGAGTAGTTTCGTGAGCAGAAGACAAGTGACAATTGAGATGGCTGAGTCAATTGCGCTGCCAAGCGTGAATCCAGGACGTTAAACACTACAAATCGGTGAAAATAGGCAGGAGCAAGGGACTACAGGCGCAGTAGTGTTTTGTCCTTAGAACTCAAGCAATTGTACTGACACCAGTTGGGAATGCATGTGGTCTCATCGCTCGAGGTGAAATACACTGTGCGTTGTAACTAAAGTGGCAGTGGAGGTGGCGTTGTGATATAGTTGTGGTTTGTAGTGGCGGCGACGAAGAAAGTGGTTGATAGTAGTGATGAGGAAGATTTTTTTTAGAAGCAAAGGATGACTAAGAAGACATAGATTTGGTGAATTATAAGGGAGATTATGAGGAGATGTGGGAGAAGGAATTATTCAATATCCCTTTTTTATTAATTTTATCTTACATTTCCTTTTGCGCACGAAAATATATGGAATCTTTTTTCTATTCTTTTACATTGTTTTATCTAATGTTTTATGCTTGGGCTTTTTTCGTTTACATTTTTTTTACCTGCTTCACATTTTATGTCATTTGTGGTTTTGCTATTTTAGATACCTCTTTGCTACCAAACGTGCTTGTATTTGCAAACAATTTTGTATGCTCTCTGGCAGCTATTAATTTTTTTGGTATTTTTCGCTCCGAGTCTTTTACTGTGGAAAAGGAATTAGGTTAAATTAAGTGACATAATTTTAAGTGTAATGTCAAGTTTTTGACAATAATTTGATTACTGACATCCACGGATTGGAGTTATGTTCACGAAATATTTGTCTTTCATTTACGGGCAACCAAATTAATCATTTCAGTGAATGAATGTGTTAGCCACGCTGTGAACTCCATGTTAACATTGTGTAAACAAGGTTTTTAAAAACCATAAACAAAAAATATGTGGAAATATGTTTGTAAGTCACCACACCGTATAAACAGCCAATCAATAATGATATTTTACCGAATTACTTTGACTATTTTCTGGAACATAAATTTCAACAAAATCTTACGTAGTGGCGGTTGATGTATTAATCTAGCAAAATTGTACTTAAATAACAATTTTTTACAGTGGAATTTTACACAATAAGATTTTACTATGAAACTTTGAAATTTGAAAAATGTCGATTTAGCTGATGCACTATTATTCACCCATATTTGTCAAATGATTTTGTCCGTGAATATCTGCTTTAATCAAATTTTTAAAATCATCAACCTTTTTATAATAGTTAGTTTTAAAAGATGAGATTTTTTTAACAGGCATTAAAATATTAAATACCTTTGTTTGAAATAACAACACCATTTTATAATGTTAAATAAATTGGAGTTAGGGGACTTTGAATAACGAGCAACCAGGATGCCCGAAACCGAGGGTTAGTTAGTTGTGGTTTGAGGTCATTGTCTTGATTTTTATTGCGCCAACCTTTGTAATTACCCCAAATATTTGTAGCAAAGCCTTGTATTCTTATGTAGTATTATCGTATTTCACTCGTTAATTACTCTCTTGGCTGTCTTCGCGTTTTGTGGGTTCTCATTAATCGCTTTACCTTAAACAGCATAATTTGGGATGTCAATCGGTTCTTTTAGGTTATGAAGATGGTGTTGAGGAACGCGTTATCAATGAGGAATATAAAATCTGGAAAAAGAACACGCCGTTTCTTTATGACCTTGTGATGACGCACGCTCTTGAATGGCCTAGTTTGACAGCACAGTGGCTCCCTGAGGTTACACGGTGAGTTGGTTTTTTTTCGGTGTGGCTTTTGAATTAAAATGTTTTTTTTGTGTGTAGTAACCCACCAACCTTTTTGCGTTGTACTTGTCTAGTGTATTCCTTTCTTGCATTGGTCTGGTAATCATTTGAACCAATTTAATGCTTTGCAGCCCTGAGGGCAAAGACTACTCTATTCACCGCCTTATTCTCGGAACCCACACGTCTGACGAGCAGAACCATCTCCTTATCGCTAGTGTGCATCTACCTAACGATAATACGCAATTCGATCCTAGTAACTACGACGCCGATCGTGGAGGTATGTCTTGGTTTGTGTATGAACAATTCCCTTTTTAGAGTTTGGTGGTTTTGGTGCAGTGACCGGCAAGGTTGAGATTAATATCAAGATAAATCACGAAGGTGAGGTCAACCGAGCTCGTTACATGCCTCAAAACTCGTGCGTAATCGCCACCAAGACACCCAGTGCAGATGTATTGGTTTTCGACTACACCAAACACCCGAGTAAACCAGATCCCTCGGGTTTGTGTGAACCCGAGTTGAGACTTCGTGGGCATCAAAAGGAGGGCTATGGTCTCTCATGGAACCCAAACCTCAATGGCTACCTCCTATCTGCGTCGGATGATTACGTAAGCCTCAACGTCTTTTCGTTATCCCTTGGTCATGATTAAAGTGGCCCTGTTTTGTCCCAATCTGTGGTCAACAGTTATTAGTAATTAAGATTCTTCGTGCTCTCATTCAACGTCGTAACGTCAACTTCTGAGGAATTTTACTATTTTATCTCTTCACCATGTTTTCGAGTTTCTGCTCTACCTTGCAGACTGTGTGTATGTGGGACATAAACACGACGCCCAAGGAGGGTCGCATAATCGATGCGCAGACAATTTTTACTGGTCACACGAGTGTGGTGGAGGATGTGGCATGGCACCCGCTCCACGAGTCGATATTCGGCTCCGTGGCGGATGACAAGCGCCTCATGATTTGGGACACACGCAGCCCCAGCTCCAACAAGCCCAGTCACGCAGTCGAGGCGCACATGGCGGAAGTCAACTGTCTCTCCTTCAACCCCTTCTCCGAGTACATTCTTGCCACAGGTAGCGCTGACCGGACTGTCGCCTTGTGGGATCTCCGCAGTCTGCAGATGAAATTGCACTCATTCGAGTCGCATAAGGACGAAATCTTCCAGGTGACTTCAAGCCCTATTTTAGTCAACAACATCTCTTCATTCAGAGGCCAAGGTGGTGCATTGAACGTCAATTTTCTCACACTGCTCGTCCCATACAACTGTGAGCCATGACTGCACCCACCGAGCCTAGAAACTGTCTACAGTTAATCCTTAGAAAGTTTTATACCTACACTGTGCTTTAACATCGCTTTTTATTCAAAAGGTTCAATGGTCACCGCACCACGAGACTATCTTGGCTTCCTCAGGGACCGATCGCCGATTGCACGTGTGGGATCTCAGCAAAATAGGCGAGGAACAGTCCTCTGAAGATGCCGAAGATGGGCCGCCTGAGCTCCTCTTCATCCATGGCGGACACACCGCCAAGATTTCCGACTTTTCGTGGAACCCATGCGAGCCCTGGGTTGTGTGCTCCGTCAGTGAGGACAACATTCTCCAAGTGTGGCAGATGGTGGGTCTTATTTTCGCACTTAACATTGAAGCCCTGTGCCTCCTTGTTACTTGATTTCAATTAAGCCCTGAAACCATTTGATGGGCTAAAATGTTAATGTCAGATTTGGCTGATAGCGGAGCAACGCGTAGGTTAATGTGGCCACATATGATAGCCACTGCAACCTGGTAAAGTTGTTTTCGCAATTTTAGGCGGAGAACATCTACAACGAAGACGAGCCCCCGTTGACAATCGAAGCCGAGTAAGGACCGAGTGTCCATTGAATTCCATCCGCATTTTATAAAGCAAGCCCTCGAGGAATCCCTCAATTCCCGTCCCTTTTTATCGCAACGACCACCAACTCATCCCCGCCCAAAAAATCCGGCACGAATAAAGGGGCTCTTTTTCTACTCAAAGTCTTGCTTTTCTGACCCCCATAGTAACGAGGTTTTTGTCTAATCCGGCCATCTGCGGTGGGTAAAACTCCCGAAGCCGTAAAAAATTGCCACATTTCCATGGTATTATCTAAATAGCAAGATGAACTAATAGTTTTTGAGGAGTAAAGGCCCGCACCGCGTGCAAGCGGGCTGAGCCCCCAGGGGTGTCTACTCGACGTCGACGCCGTTCTTGTCGAGGAACTTGCGCAGGTGGTCGAGCACCACGGCCTTGACCTCTGGTGGGACCGTTCCCCGGGCAGAGGGGGCGACCGCAGCGATGACGTCGTCTATGTTGACGTTGTCCACGCCCTTGCTGCGGATAAACTCCCTGCAGGCACCTTTCACGCGGTCGTTCCAGCCCGATTCGATCAGTTTCTCCTCTATTAACTGGCGAATCTTCTCCCGCTCGCCTTTGGCGTTGAGTAACTCGTTTATTTTCGCTCGAATTTCGGCTCTTTTGTCCGTCATGCTGTGTTATCTCCCAAAGCTCTGACTATTTGAAAGTCGGCATGAATTGATTTTTCCGTTGTCTGACCTTGAGAGAGCCAATCAAAGCCCCAGAACGACTGTCATGTGACGTTCCAAAATCCAACCCACCAAATTGCACTGTGCCACCGATAATACCAACTATATTTCGGCTTATGCGTCAATTAGCTGGCCGAGTGGTGCGTAAAAAGTTCCATTTGTTTCGATAGTTTTTTTTTTGAAATCAACTTAAACACGGGGCAGGTAACAAGAGAGTCAAGGTTAGGGTGATAAAGCAGTTAGAGATTGAGCGGTTTTACGGATGGCACAGCAGGGGAGACGCGAGGATTCTCGAATCTGAAACCGAAATAAAAGTTACGATGCTAGCAAGTGCTGTTTGTAGATCGTAACGTGGGCCAAGTATCCGACATGGTTAACAATTACTAGTGGGTAGCGGTATATTTCCACGAATGTATCAGTGTGCAGTGTTCGTCTCAGTGGCTAACTTATCTGACCTTGAGCTGACCAATGGAAATTGACATTCGCAAAACCATTTCGAAACCCGATGGCTTTATCACTAGTAGCATGTCTAGACACTAGGCAGGTGTGGTTTTGAATGCAGCCACAAACGGTGACATCTTGTGACTCCGACTTACGCCTCATTCCTTGCTTACTTCCTGCTGGTAAGAGAAGGAGGAGGCGGTCGCGAGAAAGTTGTGGGCTGCCTCGTCGGCGTCCAGACTCGCCTCACCACCAGCAGCTGGAAAGGACCCAGGTGGTGGCGGCTGCAAGTGGTACACCACGTCAGCCTCCTGTTTCGCTTGCTGGTGGTGACTCATCAGTGAGGCACTGGGGGTCACGCGCTGCTGGTGCCACGACACCACCACCTCCTCCTCACTCGTGTATCGATTGGTATACTCAAAGGGGAGGTGAACAAATGGGGGTGCAGTGGTGCTGCTGTTGCCTTCTCCCTGGGCGTCGTCCAACAGCGTTGGCACGCCTACAGACAGGAAGGAGAAGTGTCGAAGTCTTGGCAGTTCAGGATGGTACCATCAACAACATAACGAAGGGATTTTGATACATTTCAGGTAGTTTTAAAAGTGGCAGTGGTGTGACTCGAGCCAGGGTCTGTGCGAAGTCTTGTCTACTAAAAGGAGGTCAATCACTCGAGCGTTAAATTTAAACCATCGGTTGCCATAGCAACCAAAACCGATCTGGCGAAATCCAGCCAACCAGGGACGACTTTGGACACATCCCTTCTCGACGTACGTAATACGCACCAAACTCTTATTGCCAGTAACCCGTTTTGGCTGTTACGAAGGTTTTCTGCGTTCCATCACGAAATCGGCCACTTTTCCAAGCTACATAAAGTGCTGAAATGCATTAAAATCTGATCATGGAATCAGTTTGGTGGGATTCCAAAGGTGGCGCATTAGTTGATCTGCTTCCGACCTATCAGACTCAGGTATATTTACCGTCATGAGCCAATGATTTTGGACCAGAAAGCAGCCAATGAAAAGTAACCGCAATGCACGAAAACTAACAGGCTTGCCTCAATGGACTTCTGGCTTACCGGCTAAAAGGATGTCTCCCAGCAACTCGTCCAACTTCAACGCCTCCTCCGGCTTTTCTGACGTCGTGTTGGTAGCCATGGCAACCGCCTCGATCCTCGACACAAGGATTGACGCGATTCGTTGGAGAGTTGGCACTAAAAGCAGCAACTCGCCAAATCGACCTTCTGGAAGGTATTGATTATCGTTCATCACATTCATCAGCTCGATCTGCAGTCTGTTTCTTGACGCCTCGACCGTCAGTCGACCGTTTGACGTCAGACTGAGATGACCTTGAACAGAAGGACAATAGTTGAGGTCCTGCAAAGGTTCCTGATACTTTTGTTAAAATCTTAGCCAAAAAGATTTTCAACCAATGAGTGACCTCCACGTTAGAACCAATAGAAACTTGACTCACCTGCACTAAGGAAGATGATGGCCTTGAGACAGATAAATTCCGTTTCGCCGATTCTCAGCTCTAAAAGTGGTCGATAAATTGTGCTGGCGATGACCCTGAGAATGGCGTCCACTTTGCTGTCATCGGAACAACTCGGCGGTGGGTAGTCGCCGGTCTTGATGGCATTCAGGAAGGCCGCATTCAATCGATGAAAGACCGTGAAAAGTGGGGTGGAAAACGTTTGGTCGTCTTCAGGCTGCTGCGAAGTGGTGCAAATTGACTGCCACACAATACTCAACAACAGTAGCTCGGCCGCGTTGCCTCTAAGGAGTGTGAGCTAGAGAAAATGCAATGCAACATAGTTGACAAATACATTGTTACTTATTGTATATAAGTATAAAGTATATTACAAACATACTTGATCCTGCATTTCCAAGCCAGTGAAACAATCGAGTTGTTTGGCCCAGTTTATCAAACGGAAGAGGTGGTGTTTCATGGCCGCACAAATGTCGGAAAGGCTCAGAGACTCGTTTTTGGAGAGGTCTTTCATCTCGATTGTTTCAATCCTCTCGCTGTGCTATTAACAGAGAATAGTTGAGCGTATCGACTGTCGCTATCAACTGTGTCTTCTGTAATACTAACGTATGTGCCTTGAGTTTGCGTTTTCATGCCTACCTCTTTAGACTCGACTTCGGCTCGAAGGAGACTGCTGATGTCGACGAGGGTTCCGGTGATTCCCGCGGAGTCATAGATCGATCGGCGGTTGCTAATTTTGTCCCGCTCATGCTGGACAGCTACAATCAAGGAAGCCCTCATGCATCATGTCAGCTAGAATTGCCGATAACTTTTTTTCTAAATAATACATGCTACTAAAGCACAGTTAGTAGGAGATATATACTCACAAGCTCTGTTCATGCCAACCCTGAAGCACTTTTTGAGACGACAGAAACGGCATTGGTTGCGCATGTCCTTGTCAATAGTGCACGCGCGATTATACCGACAGCTGTAGGTGTGTTTTCGTCGAACCGAGCGTCTGAAGAAGCCTTTGCATCCGTCACACGAATACGCGCCGTAGTGCTTTCCTATGTGGACGTAAAATGAGAAGTGAGAGAAAAAATTAGTCCAAATATTACGTTTAGAATTAGGCATTAGTGCGATGTGTAGTCCAGCTCAGATCACCACAAATTTGCTGAAAACACGACGAGGTGCATGGATCACAAATGATTACAGCCTCATGATGGGAGCTACAATCATCAACGTACATCGTCGATGAAGGCATTGATAGCGTGGTCTCTAGGTTACTAAGAAACGATTACCGTGACAAATTTGTGCGTGTATCCAACTCCCAGAAATATGCATATATTGTGGATTACAGTTTTGCTTGTTTTTCGATACATAAATTTCATGGGATTTAATTCACTGTTGCGCCAGCAACCCACCACACTAAAACAACATTGACCTCCACTAAGGTCTGGGCAAATCATGCCAATTCTTCCACGGCGTGGCCTTGGTCCTGACTACTGCTCACGGAAACACCTTGTCATCGTCACTGTAATTCACGTTTTGTGCTTATTCGCTGGCAGAACTGTTGAAGTTTTGGTTGGTGTGGCTGGTATACGTCAGCACTTCAATCTTGTTAGAACGTGATTATTCATTCAGAAATCGAGGAGGGAAATTTAAATGGAGAGCCAGAAGAGGATGATCCGATTGATTGCCTGGTTGCGTTGTCACTTCAGTGGTTTCTCAGCCGACACAACGTTCAACAGATAGTTGGAACCGACGTTCGTAATGTCGACTGAAGTCAACGGCAGCTTCTGTCATTGGGACTGCGGATCGCTCCACTGAGTTGCCACGATGAGACCGCCTGTCTTGTAAGGTCACCCCACGACGCAGACAATCCAAACACCATCTTCTCAGCAGTAGCCTCTCAATAAGCAGAATAAGCATCTATCTGGAGTGGCTGTTGGCGAAGAATGTCACCTTCTCATCCTCCGCGTCTGTTTTCAGGAACGCTGCGTCCAGTGACGAGAAATCTTTCAATTCCTCAATCCAGTGCACGTCCACAGTCTAATCGGCGCATGCAAGGTCATCAAATTCATCTTGTGACATTCCTAGATTCGGTTCGTGGAACCACGAACTGAAGGTCCTGGAGTGGAAGTGTAGTGGATTGTCGTGGGAGTCGTTTGAACCACGTCAGTACGTCTCCCTTCATGAATTTCCACAATGAGCATGTACCCTTGTTACAACACCTTCGACAAAGACGCACTACACAACAGTGAAGGTGTGGAGGACTTTCGCTTCATCGGTTGGTGTGGCAACTCCGAGCGAATCGCGTCCTCGAACGCCTCACCACCGACTGTGTTTTCACTGGCCACGACGTAATCGATTGCCATCCTGTGACCGTCCCTCACCCACACACGGCGGTTTCTTCATCTCCTCCTCTCCCTGTCCACGACTTTCGCCTCGTTTTCGAGTTCAACTTGAATTGATCATGACTGAGACGCATTCACTATGCCGTTGCTCGATCCCTGCCCATGCACTCGCCACTTCCTTCTAACTTGCATTTTTGCCAACTTGCTGATTGTTGCTTGCAACGTTTAACTTCCATCCCACATTCACTCGACACCTTTACGCTTTACGAACCAGTGTTTCATTGAATGCATTAAAGCACTTTCTTCATTATCGTTATGAGTTTCTCTAGCTTCACTCCACACATTTGAGCTTATTCTAATGGCTATCGTGACTACCAAGCCCACATCAGGTGCTACGACATTTTCAGAACTCTGCTTCACCCCAATTCGACCAATAAACTCTCTAAGCTCCAGTCAGCAGACGGCCTTTTTAAGAAATCACTGATCCACCCCAACGTGATCTCGATTTCTTCGGCGATGTCGATATCACTAAATAATACGACGAACGCCAGGTAGAATTATGACTTGCGTGTTGCCATAATTAAGGGAAAACGGTACTACCGCAAACCCTTATAATTGTCCGTTTTTCAGATGTGAATACACACGTACGCATACCTCCTGATTGCCCACGACCTGGTAATCTTGAGTAGGTGCGGTCCAGTTCAGTATCATTTACCAATTACTCGCTGTGCAAACACAGCCAATCTGGATAGTCGTTTTTTGTGTTCGTCTACGTAATTCTACGCTGTATTTATTCAAGGGTTGTCACGCGTACGGTAAATCTCTGACCCACTCGTACTGAACAAACACAACGCGCGCATTTTGTTTGGATAGCGGCAGCAAGGGGGAGGCTGGCACAACCGGAGGGGTCGTACAAGCGCGCGTGCGTGCGTGGCGAATACACGTGCAGGCGTATCGAGTGCGCACATGCCACCCAACTCGAGCCGGACCAATCAGGCGACGGAGAGTGCGTAGTCGAACTTGACAAAGAACAACCCGACTTTGGAAGAAGAAGACAACGGCGACGCAGTGGTGCCAGTCAGTCATGAACGACCCCAACTCCGCTGAATACGACTTGCTGCACGTCGGCGGCAATTACAATCACCACGGACTGCTTCACCAGCACCAACAACCTTTGACCAGTCCCGCTGAATACGAAGGTAGGCATGTTTTGATAGTAGACTTTGGACATTTGGGAAGGCCGTTTTGGGGTAAAGGTTCAATTCTGTGCGTAAAGGTCCTCCTCCAGCAAGTGACTACTGATGTTTCGGTTGTCACAAGGGGGCAGAGTTAGGTAAGTGGCTGAGTGTGGAATTTGTATTTTGGCTCCCTGTCCGTGTTAACTTCATGCAGTCCAAACAGTTTTTGACCTTTAAAACGTGCAATTTACCTCAGCTGTGATTCATCGGCCATGTTATTATACCAGCCTCCATCGGCAAACACCATGTGTTGAGTGTGAGCTGCACTCGAGCAAAAAATCGATGAATATCGATTTTGCAATGTAATCTGCCGCGCTAACCCTAATTCGGTTGATTAAAACACGAGCAAAAAGTCAAGTTGCTCGGGTAATTGGCTAAATCTCCCGGTGAGATTCGTCACGACAAAAAAAATAATTTCTCGCCAAATTAGTTGATGAGATGGGATTGTTTCAATTAAGTAGGGCTTGAAGTCTGTTGTGCGGTGTCCTGGAACGACACTGAGTCCTCCAAGAAAAGGATCAAGTGACTTGCACGTACATTTTCCTTTAAAAACCTAAAGTGATTTTCGCAATTATAGTATTCACAACACTCCCAGCGTTATTGAGTTGGTAAATTTTGACGCTGGCCACAATAAAACACTTAGTTAAAATTTAATGCATGTAAGGGATTTGTTCTGAATGAGATTATGTGTGTGGTTTGACCAGATCCGCTCGCTGTGTGCAGTGCTAAAGTCCAACTGTGTTTCAAAAAAATCGACAACTTGACACACACGCATACAATCTCCGACAAAACTCTCATGTGCACCCCGTGCGAATAGCCTCAGAATGGGTGAAATTAGACGTGTGGCCTTGTCAAGTCGATTTCTCGTGAAAATCCAGCCAAAGAGTGCAGTCTGGGAAGTCACTTGTACAACTAGACTGCTTAAAGGGCAACTGACCGTCTAGATTAGGGCCTGAAAAGTATTTGAAACGCTTTGCAGACCCCTCTCTGCTGTTGCCTGGACTAATCGATACTCACTTCGCCGATGCGGTCCCACCTACCTCCTACTACGGGGGACCCGTTTCTTGCGCTCAAGTGGCCCCGGCTTCGTGGCTCACGCCCCTGCCAACGGCGGTGACGATGGATGCTAGGGGCGCAGCTGTCTCCACAGACGCCTATCACTCCTACATTCTGGACCAGCCCACCTTCAGATACGACAGCCTCGTGGATCCCAATGCCACGTACTATCAACCGATGTCGGAACCGATGGCCTACCACTGCGGCAACGATGTGCTAATCGAATCTCAAGAGAATTATGCTAAAAGTACGCGAGATACACTTTTTGTGTTGATGTTTCCATGGCACACGGAAGTCTTCACCGTTACAGGGACGTATTGTCCACACTTGCATCCATCAGGGGAGTTTGTGGAATTAACAAAGAGAGCGCGAAATAGCGCAAATCCACAAATTTGTCTTTTTTTGTAAAAATAACGACCTCACGATGTGCTGAAGTTGTTGCTGCACGCATTTTAGACGCCGCGGGGATTAAAGTTTCTTTTATAGTACAAGTTCACGAACTTTTCGTGCATTTGTGGAACGTCAAATTGATCAGTGGAAAGATAAAAGCTAGAGGTCAGATCACTACTGTCAACGCCCTAATATTTGAGAGGTCCAGAATTGCACGCTCTTGTAAGTAGTATAATCACTCTCTCTCTTGTCTTCATCTAACCAATGTTTGCACAGGTTTTGTTGGGATGGCTGACTTGACCTTGAGGAGTGACCTTTGGAAAGCGGCCAATAAGGAGCATTCTTGTATGCTTTAATGGGAGTAGTAGCGTTCGGGTTGAAGGATTGTTAATGTGAAATTTAAGAGAATTCAGTATTCACGAATTTCGATACACAGAAAGTGATTTTTGTGTTGCGCAAGACTGAATTTTGTGTGCTGTCACGGACAGAACTGACTCCGGAAACAGCGGTATCCGACGATGCTGAAATTCTATTGGCCACAGGGTTTGCGGATGCCTCAGAGGTCAGGTCAAGGTCGAGGTCACGTCGCCGGCGAGTTCCTCATCTGGTGAAGGGTGGAGGAGGCGCCTGCGACACCTCGCAGGCGGACCTGATGCAGTCCTTTGAAATAAAAATGGACGAAAGACCACATTCGGCAGCGTCTGCAGTCGCCTCTACCGTCATCAACACCTCCACCATCACCACCTCCTCCGCCTCCTGCTTGCCTGTCTCCAGCTGCCTCATTTGTGGTGACAAAGCCACAGGTAAGATCGAATTTCCACTATTACGAGAAATTAAGTTATTTGAACTTAACCAAGTAGCCTCACTTCCGGTGTACCAGAAAACGACCTTCGAAATACAAGTGGTGAAATGTAGCCACGCTTTATTGAAAGTTGATTAAAATAATAAGCTTTGCCGCTTTTTTCGAAATCTGCGTTGCACACCAAGATGTTGGTGTATTTACCTCCTCACGCTCTGCTTTGAAATCAACCGCGTAACTGCGTCATTCAAGAGTTGGTTTCGGAGCCAACGTACACAGCCTGGAAGTTGGTTATTATAACTTCGATTTTGTGGTAGACAATTCCGATAAATTCAAAATTACAGAAGCGCCACTTTCCTTGTCCAATCAGCTTTGAGGAACTGGTTTCGCGGGGGGTGTGGCACGGAATGGGACAATCATACTTCCACGACACAAGTAATTCAACGTCTAGCGAGGACGAGGATGGTAATGTCGATTGTCCGTCCTCCATCGATGCCAACAGCTTCCAACCAAATGGACGCGTCTGCCCCATCAGCTTGCAGAAAACTTCAACTCACGAAAGGCTCCACACACAAAAAAGAACTTCAATTTAGAGGTTACGCAAGGTGTTTTCGTGACGCACTCCGACGGGGTACCTGAAGGTAGCACGCACGCACGCCCGCACGTAGGCACAACAACAAGCGACTGTGTACACAGCGGCGGGGGGCCAACGCGGTGTTGGGGGGGGGTCACTCCAGCGATACGCTACTGGTCTCAATTCCGGCCGCGTGCGCTTGTTTGCTCAAATGGCGTCAAGCGCACACGCGTGCGTAGCCTTATTCGGCATTTTTTAATGTTTTGTGTCCGCATCAAAAAGCCTTTTAACAAGTGGCACCTCAAAAAACCTCTGAAATTGTCTAAAACACCGATTTTTTTGGAAATGACGCGGAACTAATTCCGATAGCTAATTGATATCATGAGCCGTGCTTGGTTGCAAACGTCTATTCTTTCCAAAAGTGATGATTTTTATTTGTATTCAGAACAACCACGCAGAAACCAGCACGATTCAGCTTCACTACTTCGTTCAAATTAACGATGCTGCTAAAAACCGTGAAAAACTGCCATGTATATATAAAGCGCAATAACGCGCCAATTGAATTGGTGATTTTGGCCATTGTTCACGGCTTCTTGTCTAAGTGATACGTTTTTCACACAGTTTCACCGATGTCATTATTGGGATGCCCATCGTTGTTAAATGTCAGGCCGCGTATTTAGCGAAGAAGAGTTGAAAATGCATCATTCTGGAGGAGCGAGAACTGGATCGTTTGGAAGAAATGTCGGAAACTCCCAGCCGACGTTCAGGAGAAGCGTTTCCGAGGTTTTTTCAAAGTGTGGTCGGACGCTGTCTTGCCGTAGAATCGCCTTGCTTCTAAGAAGTGAGTAATTTCGAAGGACGGACATTGTGATTGAGATAGCCGCGATTCCAGCACACGAGCGAACCACCTTCTTTGGAGAAGGAAGATTCTGCTAGAGTCACTTCCTCGACCCCCATGGACCCAATCCTTCAGGAATACAGGTGGTGAGAAATTGCATTCTACGTGGAGTTTCTTAGTTCCATCAGCATCCACGTGGAGTGAGGTCCATTTCAGTCCAACAAAAACCTAGTGTTGGATTGCCAGTTGAATTTATAGCTTACTCGATGGGCTGCTGCATCTGCGGAAAACTGCCAAGATAAAAATGCGATTTCAAAAATGCCAATCCTTTAAGATTAAAATACTTGAAGAGGGCACAAAAAGTGGTATTTCGCCAAACATTTGGTTTTGGAAGGTTTTAGAAATCGGCAGCCAACGTGTCACCACGCTGAGTTCAAATATATTGATTGAAGATGGAGCAACCTAGGGCAAAAACGACGTATTTGTTTCGATGGATTATTGATGGCAGCTATCGGTTAGGGGGTACAACGGTGATGGGAAACTCACATCAATTATTGGTCCATAAAAGTTGTTTGAGGCGGATAATAAGTCGGGATTGGAAGAAGAGGGAGTTTCCGAAACATGGAACGATTACGTGTACGCGTTCGCAGCTTCATCTACATTGTTTTGCTGCGCGGGCTTGGAATAATCCAAATTGACGTTCAAACTGAGGACCAGCGAGCGTCGAAGACTTTAACGGACATTTCGACAGAATTGTAGTTGGCTGCAGAGATGTTTGTTGTTGTTGCATGTTTTGCCGAGTAGTTGGTGCAGCGAGGGTGGAAAATGTGACATTCTGGTGGAACCAGTGTCGATAACTCAAAAGGTGACGTCAAGAAGAATTGTTTACGAGAATCTGGTGAAATTCCAGATCAAGTTGATTCGATTACGAACTATTACCTGTTCTACCAAGGCGCGAATTCACATCGCACGTAACAATGCGGGATGTAGAAGCAATGAGTTATGTCTGCACCAAAGCAGATCATCAGTTTGTGGCGCCGATGTAGTTTCGTTCAAGTCAACACACGTGGAACACACAGTCCTCTTCTCTGAAACCCCCTCCCCTGACACCAGGTCGTGGCTCGAGGTGGCTTTATGTGTTCTACCGACTACCACATGGTGTGGAGTCCAGTTACTTCCAGGAGAACTTACCGACGCTCAGCGTGGATGTGCGTCGGTGGACGGCTGCAGTGAAACACGACTCTTAATTTGACTAATCGCGATTGAACGGTAGATTGCGGACGAATTATTGAAAACCCGCCACACCATCTTACTTAGAGTAACCACGAATAATTTTTCGTGAAAGCTAACGCACATTGTGTCCAAGAGAGATGGCATCAATGTAGCTCCGCATCTTTGGTTGTAGAAACACCGCAATCAGGAATTAGATGGAACACTGATTTGGAAAGTGTCAGGGTCGCGAGGCGAAATCGGATGCAAGTTAGACGTTGCAAGCAACAATCAGCAAGTTGGCAAAAATGCAAGTTAGAAGGAAGTGGCGAGTGCATGGGCAGGGATCGAGCAA